CTCTTTCCCGTTACTAGCTCAGAAAACAAAGCTCTTGCGGCTCTGTCAGTAGAGACAAATTGAGTAATGTGCTTTGTATGTAAGCTTTGTACATACATATTTACTGAATACATGGCAGAAAACATTTCTCTTCAAGGCTAAAGATTTTAAGAAAGGTCATATTATCAGAACATCAGACCTAACCCAAACATAGGAAGTTCTGCATGCAGTAAAATTTGATTCAGAATAATTTAGTGGATGACTTCTGATATATTCAGAGAGCATTGCTAAAATGAGATTAAAACAAAACTAGAAAAGCTTTCCAAAAAAAGTAAGCCATAATCTGCAACTTCCAAAATTGAAAAGCTACTTTCCCTAGATATTGCAAAGTCCACAGGAAGAAAAATGCAATTTCCAAACAACAGTCAAGCAAAACTTTTCACTTCCCAGAGAAGTATTAAAAAAAAAAAAAAAACTTTCAAGATAATGATTACATACTCTCAACTAACAGGAAAAAAAACACAGTTGTTCTTTAAAGGGGAGCTTTCTCAGTGTCAGAAGATTTAAACTGGGCCCTAAACCCAGCAAATAACAAGAACCAGGGAAATAAACCAGGTAATGTTCTGGTTGTTAGCAATCTCTCATTCCTTAGGTCCCGAGAAGATGAATCCCCTTTCAACATCTTGCAATATTTACAGACAAATAAAGGATCTTTTGATTTATTGCATACTTACCCCTGAATTGTAAGGGGGATCAATCAGAGTGAGATTAGGGAGAGATGCCTGAAGTGCATTTACATACACTGGCTGAGAATGAACGGAGGACATTAAAGCTGAAAATTCAACAGAAACACACTGAAAAATACACTGTGATTTATTAACCATTTTAAAGCCTAATTCCTTGAAGCATAAAAACACTCCAACATGTAACTCATACTTTTATCTTCAGTAAGAGCTCATCTGATCCTTACTACAAGGACTACTCAGTTAAAAAAAAATAACCAAACCAAACAGAAATACCAAAAAAGCATTTTACCTTCTTGTTTGTACTTCTGAATCTTCTTAATCAGGTCCATCCTGTGAATGTTTCGAAAACAGTCTTCTATCAAATCCAGTTGATTAGGAGCCACCAAATTTAGTTTCTCCAGGTCAATCACAAGAGCTAGAAAACTCTAGAACCGCAACAGGAAAAACAACTACAAACTGTACTATCGGTAATTTGCTCTCTATCAGTAACTGCGGGAAATGCAAGTCCACTAGTCAAACAAAGCAACCCAGGAAATACTCTGGGAAGGTGCTAAAGGTTGTATATTCAGGAATTAGACACACTAGCAGCTGAAACACTAGAAGAAAGGATTATCTGGAAAACATAAAAGTTCTCAGTATTATATCACAGGAGTAACTGGAAACTAGAAGGCAATATTACTAAAATAAAAAATAAAAAAATTCAGTTTTTCAGGAAGTATTTTCTTGCTGCTACAAAGCCAGACACTTGGAATTTAATCTCAGATGCCACAGAGTAATAGCTCAAAAAAAAAAAAAAAAACCTCGAGGGAATTTACAGGGTTCTCTCTCTCTCTCATTCTTCTGTGCTCAGTGGATGAGCTTTCTGAATCCTCTCTACCGAATCCCTTCTTTCTCAGAGCACTCAGAAACAGACATGCAGAATGCAAATAGGCTTAGAATGACTTTGTTAAAATAAAACCATTATTTTGTAAATGAAATAGAGTTCCAAAAAAAGTGATCTTATAATTCAGGATCTATTTTGAGATCCTACATATGGGAACTTGCAGATCAGGAATACTGAAGAAAGGCTTTATTTTATGGCTTCTGCCTGTGAGGTTCATGGTAATACCATTCACTACAGCAATTCTTCACTGTTCCCTCTTACTGTTTTCTAGCTTCTTTTACTGCATTAAAAAAAAAAAAATAAAGAGAGTCACTACTCCTTCCATACTTCCTGAATTTTGTCTACTTCTGCAGCACTATCCCTTGCGGTACTGTTTCTTCTCCTTACTGTCTAGCCGCTTCCCTTTTTACTTTAATCTCTCATTGTTCCAGAATAGAAGAATAGGAGACAGAAGTTACCTTATCTTTTGTCATTTTCATGCGAGGTGCATAATCTCTGAGGAGGAAAACAAGAGAATTCACTTCTTCTTTTTCCAGATTTTCATTAATCTCTACCATTAGTACCCTGAAATAAAGTTAAGACATTTCTGAAGTATTAGCTTTCAGTAAGATCCTATCCCTGCCCAACACCCCAACACCTCCCACGTTTTAGTCTCAATGCACCCTTCCTAATTAAACAACAGGAACAAACTGTACTCTGCTCCACGATCCATTTACAAAAAATACCTACTTTTGCTCATCTATCTGTACCTGCATCTTTCTGTAATAACTGTGGCCATGACATCTTCAACAGTGACTGGAGTCTAGTGAACGGATACTAATGTAAAGAAACTAGTTAACAATCCGGCCAGGGTAGCCACTTCCCTTCCCTGGCTGAGAAAGAGGATTAAATCATTCTGTATTCTATTCTGTGCTGCTGGCTGAGGCAACTCTTAAGAATACTGTAACAGAACTGTGACTACGATTTCTGCGAAAGAAACAAAAAAATAAAGCAGATTCATTTTCCAGATGCGAGGTCGATATCTATTTTCAAATCTACCTCCTATAATTGTTTCCTGTTATTTTGAACTGTTTTGTAAATCGCCATTCAGAGAAATTCTAACACCCTCAATGCTAAGTACTACACAACAGAATTATCACTGGAGTAGCCAGCACACAGTTTACCAACTGAAATCTGGATTTCAAAATGACTGCTGTTTTGCTAAATTCAGCCAGAACATGAAGAATCATGAAAATGCCAGTTTCTGCTTTAAGACGACAGTGAAATGTAGACTTTTCTCTGGCACGCTAAGACATCATCTTGGAACTGTTCATGGAACTGCTTGGCCTATACGATGCAGCATCACAAACACTTTAAAATATACAGGAAGGATTAAATGGTGAAAAGTATCCCAAAACACAAGAAGGGATAATGGCAGATTGCCTTTGCAATAGCCACTGCTGGTGAAACAGAAGTCTCCTTTGTATTTCAACGCAGCTGAAGTGAGAGAATACAGTATAGCAGAACACATCTTAAACTTATGTATCTAATAGATACAGCATTTTTTTTTTCTTTCAGTGATAAGTCAACACAGGAAAGTCCTCCTTATGAGTACATTTATTTCTTTCTGAAGTCTCCCATAGAAAATAACTGGAGCCTCTTAACTTAAGCCCCTTAAAACTAAAGGGTAGGACATAGTTAGAGACAGGCCACCCAAGAAAAGCTACACCACAATGCTACAAGCCCAAAGTAAAAAAAGCTGGAAAAAAAAATGGAGAAAAAAAAATCACTAATAACATTCTGCTAAAGTGTTGTTCTACCTGCTCATCCAGAACTGAACAAACATCACTGTTGTCATTGATTAATAAACTTCTTAAAGATAGATGCTTGTAATGCCATGACTTATAAGAAGCCACGGAGGCTTATTTTCAGGACTAAACTTTAGATACTCTTTTCATTATAACTTGTGTATACGACGCCCTTTTCTGCTCATCTTTTACTTTATCAAGACCTGTCTATTTCTACCCCCTCCCCCCCCAAAAAAAAGTATTTAGAATAAAATAGAACAGCCTGGAAATCTGAAACACATATATTACCTGTAGTCGGGAACAAGTCTGGGACACCTGGCAAGATTAGCTTCCACTGTTGCCTTCTCAGTCTTCAAGATCCTCCTCAGCAAGTCAAACCTCTTAACTCTGTACAACAGCTCAGACAAGCCAAAAGGAGACAGTTTCTCCCTCTCATTCAAACCCGCCAGGAGCTCTCTAAGGTCTGCAGTAGCTAAGTCAGGAGCAAGGTCTCGGCATAGGAAAATCATTATCTCTTCTTCTTCTTTATCCAATTCTTGTTCAATCTGGTGAATAAGGGCAGCTGGCACTTGGCACTTGGTCATCACTTTGTTGCTGTCCCTTTAAAATTATGTCAGCCTTCTGTTTTTTTTTTTTAAACAGGAAGCCAACATGACACGAAGCCCATTTCTACCACAGTGCTTCTCTGGTGTTCAGTCTTAACTAGACGTGTTTCTACAGAAGTTGTTCTGAGGGAGAGAATTAAAAGGTTCTGAATCAGTGATCTACCGCACAAGATCCCAATTAACATTTCTTTCTGAGATATTCCACTCAACTAAAATGCCAACTTAGTCTACAAAGACCTACTGTTCTCAAGGGGTTCTCCCAGCTGTTCATTACAGAACAAAAAGTAGTTGGTAGGTCATAAGAAGAACTTAAATTTTTTTTGATTAGTAAGTAAAACTACCTTAGCCCAAGTCTGTAAATTCCATAGGAAGTGAAACAAAAAATCATCAGCCTGCTGATAAGTGATCACATTTTAAGTGTTTCTGGAAATAAGAGTCAAGTTGTACAGCACTTAAATCTAAATTTCTGACCTCTTCCCACCAACCTTCCCACCTGCCCACCACTCCCCTTTCTGCCCCAAAAGTCTCAAAGCATTTTTCAGGAAGCATTTTGAGCACTAAGGTGCAGTGTAATCCCATGTTATAGACAAAAGTACTTAAAAAAAAAAAACAAAACTAAACTAAAAAACAAACAACCGCCCCCACCCTACTATAAGATGTTTGCAACGTGCTTTGCCTTAAATGAAGTCAAAATAAAGGAAGTATTCACAATGTAATACTTTTCAGCAGATTAATTATCTTGAAGTTCCAGAATGGAAGATGGATTGTCTTATGAGTCAGTGTGGTTTTAAGGGCTTCTACCCACACAACCTCTGGTGCTAAAAAAAAAAATCAAAGAACAACATAAAGAAAAAATTCCAACCTTCAGTATGCTAACTTATTATCTCTGAAGGTACAAATAGGCCACAGGCTGCCTTTTCCTTCACTGTGACATTTGTGTTTCACAGCACTAAAAAGTGACATAAAAATTCAAAGTTAGTTAAAAAAAACAACAAAAAAAACCCCCCAACAACCTCTTGTGATTCAGGAAATAACTAGGGTACTAGGTTCAATTTCTCCTGTCACCAGCTGTGGAAATTCAATCTACCCTTCTCTGATTCCTATTATATACATGGAGAAAGATGATTTAAGCAACCTGAAAATAAATCTTAGCCCTCACAAGGAGCTCAGTTACTATACTGAACGGTTTTGTGTAAATCCTTCTCTAAAGCAAAAGACCGTATGACTTTAAAGTCTAATACACTGAAAGCTTTTAACATCATAACATTTTCCAAGGCGGTTTCAGCCCTTTGTTATGCACTCTGGAAGTCATGACCAACAATGCCGCATATTGCATCCCTGCATTAAGTAGATGAGATGAACTCAGCTTCAAGCTATTTTCTTCACTCAGATGCTGTCTAAAAGAAAGATAACTCTTTCACATAATTAAACATCAACATGACTCATCTTTCCAGAAAAGGAGCGAGAGTTGGGTTCCATTAAACCCATAGGATAGGCTCCACTGCCCACTAAAAAGCACGTTAAAATCAAGTTCCTAAAGCAAAGTCTCTTTTACCTACATCCACCACTGCAGTGGCACAGTGGATTTTCCCTGCACTTTTGGCTTATGCTGTTGTCAAGTATCACAATGACAGGAACAGGAAAAGTCATCATATTCTAAAGAAAGTATCATTTATCTTGCAGATAGTATGCCTGCATCACTAGGAGATTATAACACAAGTAGCTGCTATGACCTCAAGGTCCCATCTTCAGAAACACATCTGAAGGGCGAGGTAAGGGAGGGTAGCACTGACAAGTTTTAAAATATCACAGAATCTACCACGTCAGAAGACGCAAATATAACTCAGCTTAAATACGCCTACACTTCCATACTGCAGCGTAAATGAAATCTAATGCATCTGTAATTGAGTCTTCAAATGGCACTTAGGCCACTTTGGCTTATTTTCAGAAGCAGAGAGCGTTCAACTGCAGCTGACAGTAATAAGGCTGCAGATACCCACCTTAGCCCATCAATGCCTCCTATTTGCATTCTACACATGCCATTCGACAAGTAAATACATAGTGAAAATACACAATTATAATACTCCTGCTATAGCACAAACCAGGAAAAAGCAACACCTGTCCTCTCTGATACATTTCTGTTCTTCAGAACCTAAAAGGGACAGACCAGAACAGTGCTTTCCCTCATCACATCATACCATTTAGTAATGTGGAAGAACGAAATTCACTCTTTGCTGGAAAACGTGTGGCAACATTTATCCCTACAGGCAAACAAATGTTCACAATGCAAGCAGCAAAAAACAAACAAACAAACAACCCCTAGGCAAACAGAAATGCTGGCATGAAAGACCAGCAGAAGCTGCCCCTTTGTCTCTACAACCCTCTTTCAAATACTCAAGACCTTAGCATTGTTAATACAGCAAGTTAAAAAGGAATTGAAGTGTTTCCAACAAAGATAATCTGGTTGGACAACATATCTGTACTTTTGAACCTGTTCTATCTTACACATAGGCCTGCAATACTAACACTTGTATGGGTGGGATGAAAGGGCAGGGTGGGAAAATTTTCAGGCCCCTGATGAGCAGAGACCTCCCCCATGCCAGAATTCGTTTCATGCAGTTTTCTGCTGAAGTATCATTATTGCAAACTTCTGATTTTCAAGATAGCATAAAACATTTGTGAGAATTCCACATTCAAATAAAACAAAAAAAGACAACTCTTTTTATGACATAATACAGTCAAGAAGGGGGAAGCACAAAACACTCCCAAAGGAAAACATCTTCTAGGTACATGCAGCTGGGTCTTTCAAAAAAGCTTGAGAATGTCATATACATGACTCACTTTAAAAGGAGCTAGGAATTTAATAATTTCCTTTGTCTATTTTAAGAAATCCCAGATAAACTTTATTTTTTTAACCAATCTATTCTTTTTTTTTTTAATCTTTTTAGCTATTTTAA